TAACCATGTGACTTTCCTCCTCTGCTAATTAAAGCAGCATGTGTGTGCGTTTGAATGTGGAAGGTGGGCGGATGGAGAATGGGGTGAGTGTTTTGGGTGAGGGATGAGGTGAGGGGGGGGCTCTGTCTTTGGATCTTCTGCTGCATCCCTCCCTCCATCTCTCTCTCTTTTTTTTTTTTTTTTTTTTCTCTCCCTCTGAGGTAGGAGGGGCTGCTCGTTGATAGGCGAGTTTGGGGTGCGACAGATTACATAACAGTACGTAACGAGAGTGGGGCATACAAGGACCGCAGTCTCTCCTCACTGAGAATCTTAATTGGGGGTTCGGCGGTGGTGGGGAGGGTTATGAGGAGTTTTCGCACTCATTTTAGTTTGGTCCTCTGTCTTTGTGTAAGTTCATTCGTCCAAAATAAAATAGAATAGCTTACCCTGTGGGTAACCATTCCAGTGCTCTCTACAACTAAGAACTAGATTAACTTATTTTTACTAATCACCACACCGTCTTGTGAGTGAATGATCAGGTACAGAAATCTAAATGACCATATTCAGAAAGGTTTTCTTTTATCTTTGAGTATAAGCTGCTCATGTTCACACTCGTGCCTTCTCATGCCATCCACGTTATTCTGAATCAAAGATTTTTCACAAATATCAGCAGATAAGGTATTTGTGGTTGTTCTGTTCTTTTCCCCCTGCTCACCAGTTTAGATCTTCTGTGTTTCTTTTTTTCCCCAAGCCTGCAGTGCTCATGCTGGCATCGGGGCTTTAGGTGGAGGGCTCAGGATGCAGCAGCAGCCTGGCCGTCGTGGCAATGATGGTGGGGGATCTTGTTGGTATTCAGGTGTTGCAGCAGGCAGGCAAGCAGGCAGCTCCCAGACGAGGCAGTGCAGGCGCTGCTATTTTTACTCCTCCTGCTGCTTTTTTTAGACCCTCAGAATAGTGAGCAGGCAGCGGCAGGGGCTGCTCCACTGCTGAGGAGGGAGGGAGGGAGACAGGAAAGGCTGGGGGATGTCAATACCTCTGGACGTGTTGTGCAGCACTAAGCACAGCAGAGCTGTGGTGCAAACGCGCCCCCATCAGGGCGCCTCAAAGCCAGCGTGGTGGACCAGTTTTCTCAGAGGTGTTGGAATGGGGGAAACTGGGTTCAGAGTACCGTTGCTAGGAATGAATGAGAGGCAGCAGTGCACACATCCACTCCTGCCAGCGCATGCATTCATGGATTCACACACTGCTTTTCAAAGCCCTCTCCTGCATCTCCATTTTTTTTTTTTTTCATTGCACACAGCACTTTCATACGTGGTTGCCCCCATCCACACACATTCACCCTTTGTTGTCTGCGTGTGAGCGTCAGTGCTGCTGTCACTCACGTGCTTGCTTGCGTAGATCCTTCTTTGTTACATTATATCTGTGTGTCACTGATGTAATGCATTGCTCACGTGAGGGGAATTATATCCTGCTGGGAACACTGGGAGATATACATATGGGCGTGTGTTTGACTGACGTGAATAATGGGATTTTTGAACATTGCGTACTTAAACCCATATATCTGACAGGCTACTCTGCTTAGAACCCAGAATATTTTCTTCTCGTATCTGTTGCACCGGTGATGGCTAAATTTATTTAGAAGTTCTTATTGTCCCCTTAGGTTTTTTTTTTTTTTTTGATTCTTGTCTTTTCTCTGAAGAGGAGAAATTACTTGTTAATTGACTCCAGCATAACTTGCATCCTGCTTTTGTTTTGTTTTTTTACACATTTCAACAAAATCTCCTCCATATTAGTTCTACATTCTTTCTTAATCGTAATTCCAATATCCTGCTGATGCAGTTTAGTTTTTTGTTGCTGTTTTGTCTGTTAGAGCAAGAAAATACCTTGAGTGGACAAAAAAGATAATTTTTCTTGTCATTCATTCATTCATTCGTATCAGTAGTATCATTAAATAGGCAGATCCTTGTACTAGTGCTTAAATTATGTGGGTTTTTTTTTTCCATACATGCACTGTGACCGTGTCAGAATAAAAATGTCTTTTTAATTTTAACTTTACGTATTGGATACATTTAAAGATAAAGCAAACTGGAACCTGACTGGTTTACCTCAACACTATAGTTCAAATGGCACAAACTTGCAGAGTGGAAATTTTCCACTTAAAATGCTCACTTAGAAATAAGACTGGAAAGCTGGAGGAGTGACACAACTTTTGCATTCTGCACGACATGCATCTGACACATGGCACACAGGTGTCATGTATAAGTTCAAAAGGTGATGTTGTGCCTGCATTATTAGTACTTAACACATTCTTGCACGCACACCTCATTTAAAGTTCCAAAAGTGACGCTGTACGTGCATTTTGGTTCACTCTTGATGCATTCCAGCATACAGGTGGAGTTCTCTGCACCTGTAACTCAGTCATGCAAGAGAACGTCAAGCGTCCCAACTGTCTTTGTATGGGGGCAAATGGTGCATTCCCTTGTGACAGGAATGTGGTCGGTGCACTGCGGCTTCTTCGTGCGTTTTATGTTGTTTTGTTCTTGCTCTTAGTTTCAGCTGTCATTGCTTGTCATTTATTCCTCGATGGAATCCATGGTTCTAGTTAAAGAGTCAAAGAAGGTGCCTATCATCAGTAGGACATTACCTCACATGTTCATACAAGGTACCTCAGAAAAGCCTGTCTTGCAGTTATCTCTGGCAGCCTTTTTGATTGTCATGATCATGAAACAGTTTCATGCTCTTCTCTTCTACACTGTGTTTGTTATACTTCTTGAATACTCTTGAATTAAGCTTTAAACTTGCATGATAGTTATAACAAAGAGGCTGATTTTACAGTCCTCTTTTTGGAAATGAGGTTTCCACCTGTCGTCCATCACATGCATCATTTCCAGTGTCGTGGATTTGTGTTGAATATGAACTCTGTAGCTCATAAAGCAAATAAACTTTATCCACTTCATCATCATATCGACGGGGATTGTCCCCCCACCCTCAAGCCATTTTACTTTGCAGCAACTGTAGCCTCTCCCAGCTTCTATTTGCCTCCACCTGCATCTGCAGCGAGGGGCTGACTTGGTACAGCCTGCGCCCATTGAGGCTTTTCTGCCACGGAGCATTTCATTCTTAACATGGGGGAGGTTTAAAAATAACCAGGGATTCTGCTCTCTTTTCACTTTTGACTTTGTGCTACTCGCTCTCACTCCTCTTCTCTCATTCACTCACTTGTTCTTCTCTCTCCCCCTCCCCTCCTTCTCCCCCTCTCCTCCACCGCGATCTCTATTCTGTCTTTCTCCTTCACTCATTCGTTCTCTTGCTTCGCTCCAGTTCTATTTTTAGCCGCCCCTAGGATCCCTCATCACCCCCCGTCTCCCCCCCACCCTCCCTACCCCACTTCACCCTCCTCCTTTCTCCTGCTCAATGTTCGTCATCACTCCCTCCTCTCTGCATCCCCTCTCTCATCTTGTCTCTTTTTCCAGCTCTCCAGCTCTTTGCCAGAGAATGTCCTCTACCTCTATTAATCTTTCATCAAGCCGTGCTAATATATTCATGATTCACAACTGTGTGTGTATATTCGTGAGTACCCCAATCTCCCCCTCACCACCACACCCTTTTTTTTTTTTTTTTTTTTTTATTTTTTTTAGAGCTCTTAAGATCTTGGTGTGATGACACCACCCACCTCAATATCAAAGGGAACAAAATATTCCCATTTTGCTTCACAACTCATTCTTTGTCCTACATGTTGTCTGTGAGCACCAAATGAATTTTTTTTTTTTTTTTTTGTCCTATGTTCATTTCTCTACCTGCCTTCTGTCTTCCTTCCCTCCATCCTTTCTCCCCACCATCCTCCGTCAGTCAAGCAGGGGCTGGGGTTGGTGGGCAGTGAGTGTTTAAAAATAGCCCTGCTTGCTTGACAAGGTGAGGAGAACTCTGAACACAAGAAGAACATCAGCTCCTCTCTCTGCTTCCGTCTCCTCACACTTCAGCCTCTTTACCATCTTTTGTTGTGCTTCTAAGAAATCCTCTGCTTTTACCGAACTGTTCTGCACCTCACTGATTTGCCAGCATTCTCCTTCCTCCACCTTTTCTCTAAACTAGACACACCTGATTTAACCTCGCCAGTCAGATTTGTCAGTATATAAAACTGATAGGTGATTTGAGGCTGTGTTCATGTGCTGGAAATCGTATTGTTTTAGATCACAGGAGCTGCTCCCAGTGAGGTATCAGTGGGTGTTGAGGGCTTTGTGAATCCTATACTGGCTTCTATCTTTGTTCTACTTTAATCTATACCATTTCATCTCCACCTCTTTATAATCTCTGTTCCCTTGGTTGTCTTTGTAGCTCAGTCTTGATGATTTGTCTCCTATCTATACCATCTTAGGCTGTATTATATGCATCTCTGCGCCAAAAGTGATCTACACACTCACTTGCGTGTGTGCACGTTAAGCATCTCATCCACAGGAAGTGTTATTTGACTGATGAAAAAGCTGTCATTATAGAGCAGGTGGATAGTATTGTGGGATATGTCTGCCATCTGATTTGCTTTACAGTACTGTTTTTCACCCGTGAAGTCCTCTGAATTAACTCCATGTTGAAGTTTAAACCATATTGGTGATGGTTGCAAGTAGCCAAACTTGATTTGAGCATGTGCCATGGGTTTCAGAACACGTGTGTGTTCATGTTCATGTGTGAAAGCTGCAATGCAAAAATAACAAACACTACAGGTAACGTAGTACCAAAGCAGTAAGTCGGTGTACAGTGACTTGTCAGGGTTGCTGATATAACATGGCTGAAGCCTTTCGGCAGGGTTAGACTAAGATTACTCAAACTGAGAAGAAAACCGAAACCATGATTTCAATCAAATCATTCTTTCAAAACCAATTCAGTATTTTTGTTTCAGATTTTAAGGAGCATACTTATTAACTGAACAGAATTTGACTTGGCCCTGCCCTTCTGTGAAAGTGTACCAAGACAACCTAATGACCTTTTTTCTTTTCTTTTTTCTTCTTCTTTCTGTTTCTCTGCAGTTGTGACGGGAGCCACGGATGGAATCGGGAAATCCTATGCGGAGGAGGTGAGGCTCCTGGACCCTTATTTATTTCATTTCTTTCACGGAAAAGCTGTGACTCATGCACATACACGCACCATGTTCACTCAGAGGCCACGGTAGGGGAGAGCTCTTACAGGCCTATTAACGTGTAAGAGAGTCCTCACACACGTAAACACACACACTTCAACATAGGCTTACCAACAGAGGTAACAAGCACACGTTGAACAGGGGCTACCCTGCCACGTGTTTGGCTCATACCAGTGTGGGCGAGCTGGCTGTACAATATAGTCATGTAGGGCCTTTGACTCATGCTGTTGCTGTTGGTGCTACTGCAGGGCTAGCTGCTTGTCACACAACAGCAGGCCACAGTTTTATCCAGTAAATGTATGCAGAATATTAAGGTATGCTTTCATATGGAAGAGCATCATTTCCAATAATTTGAGATGCGCAAACAGATTACCTCACTGTAAATAGTTTGCATATTGAAGCCCCAACTTTTTTTACAACAGATATTGTGACTTGTCACTGTTGGGAATGAGTGTCTCAGTACGTTATGATGGTGAACCAGCATGCACAAAACACATCCTCCCTAAGTAGAAGAAAGCCCTCACATGTGCAACAAATCAAAAAATCTGCAGTGAAAATAGTCCATTCTGATTTAATGTACACATTCTTTCCACTCTGAAGTCTCTCTTCTGGAAGCATGTTTCTGAAAAACTGAGCAAAACCAGTGTGTTTTTACATAAAAGTGGAGATAGATGATCATGAATTTGCTTCAGAGTCGTGGTGTACTTGTAGAAAGTTGAAAAACACATATTTAAGAAAAAATGTTTTTACATCATATACATTATTGCATGATGTGTTTGCTCCTCTTGTTACCATCTATAGTTACCACTTCTTATGACTTTATCAAACTTCTCTGAAACAAAGTCAGAAAAAAAGGCAGCAACAACCTGACAAATCTGCTGCCTTCGTCGGCACGCTTTTATAAAGAACACATCATGTCATCATAATCAACAGAAACACTATTTCACTTGAGAGGAGGATGTATGTGACATTGTTCTCAGTGCAATAAAATTATGATCAAACCTGTAGAGCTGTTACTAACCGGTTTTTCCTTTCTAGCTGGCTCGTCGAGGATTTGCAATGATGTTGATCAGTCGCTCCCAGGACAAGCTGGATGACGTTGCAAGGTCGCTTGGTAAGTGTGCATAAAAGTGTGTTTGTCTCCACAACATCATGGAAAGCTGTTTGGGGTTTAAAGCACAGCGAGTGGGTTGATGAGGATGTGTGTGACGTGCAACCTCCCAGCCTGTGGGCTACAGGGTCTCCCAGGCCTCGATAGAAGGGCATATGTTCTGCATAAGGAGTTAGCGCATAGTGAAAACAGAAAAGTGAGTTTAAAAAAACCCACCGTCACCCTGTGCACAACATTGTGGATGTAATAGCTCTCCTTTTCAACACAATGTATTTGTTTTACGCAGTGTGTCATTTTGTGAGTAGTTTCCTCCAAATCCCATTTTTCACGCTCTTGTGCATCCTGCTAAGTCAAGCCTTCATTCTGTTAGAATTCTGGTGAGTTTAAAACCTGCAGCCAACAAAGCAGGCTGTGTTTTTACTCCCTCACTGTTCACATGAAGAAAGACAGATTAAATATCTGGCCCAATGAAGTGGAAAATCATGGACCAACCTGTTTTGAGATATTTGCTACAAACAGACTTGGCTTGTCTCATTCAAGTCCAAAACAAGTTGTAAAATGAGTGTCCATATGACAGGCAAAACTTTTGTCCTCTTCCATGCTGGCTTGTCTCCAGATTAAAACAGAGACTGAATAGTGAATGTCCCCCCTCCCATTAATGGTGCCCTCTCCCCGACTCGCTCTCTTTCCATCTGTCTCTGACGTCTCCCACAGCGCAATTTCCCCTGTCGTGCTTCAAGTCCACAGAGGGGGCTGATGGGTAGTCACGAGCAGGGTGCGGCGTGCCAAAGTCTGGCACTCCTCCCTCACGATTAGTCTGACAAAACCGCCCTCCTTAGCATGTAACAGGGCAACCCACCCTGTCCCACCTATAATTTTATTGTTGAACGTGCCTCTCCTTTATGTTTCACAATCGTCTCATTTTGACTCGTCGCACCTGCTGGCAATCCCAAATTTCTCCTCCAATTTGGCAGCCTCAGACTTAATATTTCTGCTTCTTTGCCATCATGTCACCAGCTGCTTTTTTCATTTTCTTGATCAATGATCTGAGCTGGATACAGATTTCAGGGAGACTCCAACCCATAAGCCTCTTTTTTTTTTGTTAAATTTATTGTACTCACCCCCACCTCACATCCTTCTCAGGTTTTAATCTGGTCTCAAGTCTGACTGAACACACACTGACACACTACTGGCCTTTGCCAGGGCACATCCCAGGAATTTTCCTCTTATAACTCCCTCGGCCACCTATCAGCTAAACGAGTCTTTGGACAATAAATTCTAATTGCAGCAGGCGCGTCAAACATGACGAGGTAGTGGAGGGAGGAGGGGGAGAAGACCACTCGGCTGGTTTGTTGGTACACAGTGCCCTCTTCAGTTGGAGCCAGACAGTGGCTGGTTTCATGCTTCATTCGTTTGAATGGATTGAAGGTTTTGAAACAGAGGATTGCTCTGTTGTTGGGCTATGTAATCAGCTTTTGCACAAAGTGCTGGCTGATTTGTGATTCATGGTATGAATGTGTGGTGTAAAGGCATTGCCCACTACAACGAATGATCTGAAACATGCCGCCTTCTTGGCTTTGTTTTTGTTTGCACACCATTTGCAGGATGTAACTTTGATATCTGCAGTTTAAAACACTTTTTGCTCATTTCTACACCTAGATATCATTTTAACTTGGATACTTCTTTTACCCCTTGATAGAGGAGCAGTATAAAGTGGAGACCAGGACTATTGCCGTCGACTTTGGCAGGACAGACATCTACCCAAAGATTGAGGTGGGGCTGGCTGGTCTGGAGATCGGTGTTCTCGGTAAGAACAGATGGTTGCAACTTTTCTGTCTCCTAATGACAAGAGAGTGTATAGATTTATCCCTCTGCTGTTTCCAGTGAAGACTTGCAGGTTATACATGTCTACATGTTGACCTCGTCTTGTCTTCAGTGTCGTGAACAGTTATATTGCAAAGAGACAAAGACTAAAGACATCTCCCAAAGGGTAAAGCGACACCACAAGACAAACTGCATGCCAATTCCACTACGAGCACATGACACTCCCTCAACATGTGCATTCAAGCAGCATGAGATAGCTTGTGTTGACAGCATGTGGTGAAATGTTCACAGTCATGAGCATTTTAGAAATTTGACAGAATTCATGGGGTTGAAGGGTGTTGTGACTTGTACAACTGTTGGCAGGGCGTTTTTTACGTTTCACTATATAGATTCTTATTGTGTGTTGAGCAAAGTAGGTTCACTTTTTTTGAGATACTTGAATTCACATCTTTATAGCGTCACTGAAAAGGAAAAGTTGGCAGTGTTGCACTTACTACTGACAGGGTCATGTTTAAGGTCTGCGCTGTGGCAGTGTGCAGTTTCTTTACCATCTAACCATCGAATCAATAATCTCTCCCCATCTTCCACATCTCTGAGGCTCTTTCATTTTCAATGTCTGTCTTGAGTTTAAGCTTCAGAGACATTTCAGCAAACGTCTTTCGGACACTGATAAATCAAGTTGTGTCACATGTTTACAGGTGCACTAAAATCAGAGCTGTTGATATAACATTTACATGTTGAGACTCTCGAGTTCACGTTGTACTTTTCAACTAAACATTTAAGGTACTCTTTGTTCTTTTTTATGATACCAGTTGTGCTCTACTGGTTGCAAGGTGTGGCTGTGTCTACTGTGGAGTAAATGCCTATTTCTAGCTTGTTTGCTTTTGCTGCCACCTCATGGTAGATATTTAAGATAGTTTAAGTTCTCCAGCTTCAGGTTATTTAATAAAACAGTAGAATAATTGTGCTTTTTCCTCACTCTTCTGTCATTCAACAGTCAACAATGTTGGTGTGTCTTATCCCTATCCCGAGTACTACCTCCACATTCCTGATCTGGACGATGTGAGTTTGTTTTTCACATCATATCCTCTTTATTTGCTGATAGATGCTCTGAGTTTCTGCTAGTTTATTGTGACTTCAAGACCTTGAAATAACTAAAAAAAAAAAAAAAAAAAAGCACATAAATATTAAAATGTTTAGTTTTGTATTGTATTAAGTCTACAAATACTTCGCTTCTTTTTATTCCTTGGCTTGTCTTCCTGCTCTGTCTTGTATAATATTTAACGTAAGTGTTTAGCTGACTGGTGCTTTCTGTGTTTCAGTTTATCACAAATATGATCAATGTCAACATGACCTCAGTGTGCCAGGTAAGTTTGCCTCCTTCTCAGATGACTTTGTACTCTTTATCTCTGCTCTACTACACTCAGCCCGATGATTCATATCACACCCCAAGTGCTTGTTTAAAGCTCATCCATGGGTATCACTTTCGCCCTTTTTGTTGTTTTCCTATTCTTTTTCCTGTCTCCTCTTCTGCTGTTCATACCATGGTACCTGCAGTGTCTCAGTTGTTCCCAAAGCAACGGTGGACTACACCAACGCTGTCTGTACTCACCACCCACGCATCTCTCTCTCTCTCTTTCTCTCTCTCTTTCTCTCTCTCTCTCTCTCTCTCTCTCTCTCTCTCTCTCTCTCTCTCCCTCTCTCTCCCTCTCTCTGCTGGTCTCTGCCTGTCTCTCTCTATCCCTCCTACTTTTTGTCTTTTTCTTTCAGATAAAACTCTGTCCTCCGTTCCCCTTTCTCCTTGTTCTCCTTCCTAAGTTGTGCGATTGTTAACTGAGCTTGTTGTTCTTTTAGATGACCCGTCTTGTGCTGCCCAGAATGGCTGAAAGGTGAGTTAAATGATGGGCTTCCATGTTTTGCGACACGACTGTAGTCAAACCTGGGCATAAAGGAAGAATCTTGGCACAGAGCTAAACAGGGAATCCCAAAATTAAACAAAACTCTTTTTGTTTTGTGAGAAACAGTATTTGGGAGATGACACTTTACAAAGGTGACTCTTTTACTGGGAAGTAGGACAAGAAATCCTCACCGAGCCGTTTCCATCACTGCATCTCTCTTTCCCTCGCCTCCTTTGTTCACAATGCTGACAAGCTTTCAATTCACACAAAGTGCTTTTCCCACCCGATTGGCTGCTCTGTTCCCATGTGATTCCTGCTGGCCAATAGCGGAGCAGGCACATTTGGTGCCGTGTGAGGCTGGAGCGTCTCCACTACATCACTGCAGCAACAGGCTGCCATGGCAACGCACAGGGCCACTACCACACTGTTTTAGTGTGTGCAATATCACTTTGTGTGTATTTGTCAGTGTGCTAAATGTGTATAGACACAGGGTTCCCACTGGCCTGGAAAATCATTGAAAGTTTGTGGATGTGATGTGGAGAAAAAATAAGGACTTAGAAACACTTCTGAAAATACATTTATCCACTGTGGTGGGGTCAGGTCCTGAGGAAAGCCTTGTTTAGAATTGTGTTACAGCAGCAGCATTGAAACTGAAGATTTCACAAGGCTTTTTTTAATGTTGCAAAATGTGAAGTTAACTATAGCCTTCTGATATGTCATTTTGCTGATAAGTTTAAGTCGTGGAATGTCATGAATTCTCTCAGCACTCGTGTGTCTGCTGCATTCTTGAGTGTCATCTTTGCCTCACAGACAACAAAATAAAATTCTACATTTTTCTTGTTGTGTTTTTTTTTTTTTTTCTTAGATCCAAAGGCGTTGTCCTCAACATTTCCTCCGCTAGTGGCATGTACCCCGTCCCTCTGCTGACAGTCTACTCTGCAACCAAGGTATGTGTGACATTTGGGCTTGTGTAACTTACAAACAAGCAACACTTCTACCTTGAAGTCAAATGTTTACATTTGTGTGTGATACTTTCATCAAGCTATCCTACCTTTCTGTGCACATTTAAAGACAGTGGTAACAACAACATTTTATAGACTGTCAAGTTAAATGTGACCTTCTTTGTGTGCAGGCCTTTGTGGATTTCTTCTCTCGTGGCCTTCAGGAGGAGTACAGGCGTCAGGGCATCATCATCCAGGTGAGTTCGGGACTTTTCTGGTGGAGCTTAAGCCCTCAACTTCACACTTTGTGTTTTTTGGGGGTTTTTTTGTTTTGGCTTTTTTTGGTTTCAATTAATGGCATACTCAACATTTTTTTTTAGCTTTTATATATATATATATATATGTGTGTGTAAATGAAACCAGTGGCAACATTACAACATCCCACTTCTAACTTTGACACATTGATCATTCTCGTTTGTGTTTATTTATTATGAGGTTAAAAATAGCATAAATTTAAAGGATGTTTTCCTTACATGTTGAATCACTGCCTGAATATCTCGGCTCATAAGTGAACATGTTCCACATTTGCTAATGGCTCTGTAAAAAAGGCTGAAAAAGCTGCTTCTCTGATGTTCTCTGAACTCACTTGCCTTTTCAACTCAATAAATTACCAAATCAAACTTGTTGCTCCCAACCAGTCTTACTTGAAGGGTGATGAAATCCAGATTGAGTAATGCCTCTGATGTGGCATTGTTGCCTTCCAAGCAGTGGTATTTTTAAAAATATGTTGCTGCACATAAGACTGGTTTGTTCTGTTTATAGCACCTCTGAAGTCCCTCACTCATGTGCCACCTTGTGGTTGGAGTGTGTAAAGGAGTTTCAACTGAAACAACAGTTAGCAGTAAGATTTTATGCAGTTTGAGCAAAGTGTATGTTGAGCTCAGTCTCAGAGGAGGACACATGAATTGCCAGCCTTTAAAATACAACTTTGTGCCCAAGCTGCAAGACTGAAATGTTGGTTTTAATCAAGAAATTTGTCATATTCTGATTTTGTTTTAATTGTTGTTGGGCCAGGATATTTTTTAATGGCAAGTTTAAAGCTCATCTCAACTGTAATTATTATTTTTTGTCTTCCTGCAGAGCGTGCTGCCCTTCTTTGTGGCCACTAAAATGACACGCATCAGAAAGCCCACCCTAGACAAGCCTACCCCAGAGCGCTATGTGGCCGCTGAGGTCACCACTGTGGGTCTGCAGAGCCAGACCAATGGTTACTTCCCCCATGCTGTCATGGTAAGAAATGGAAACCTTAAAAAAATGAAAATCTAAGCAGGAATACATTCACTAAACTCTAATATTACTCTAATTTATCAAGTGTCAAACAAAAGACTGAACTACTTTTCTCAGCAGCTGGTTTTTAAACCTATGAGTGACTTTTAATCCATATTCAGATACAATTACAAGCAGGCTGCATTTAGTCAATACAACTGATATAAAAGCTTTCAGAAATGACTACATTTATGTCTTTCAATTAAAGAAAATACCATGAAAGCTCTCATTCAAATACAGTGTAAATGTAACCCCTTTTTGTATTGTTTCTATGATCACAGGGTTGGGTGACCACCAAACTGGTGCCGAGCAGTATTGTTATTTTCCTGGGAGCCAGAATGAACCGTCTTCAGCGTACTGGATACCTGCACAGGAGGAAGCTGCGGGAGCAGAAGAATGGAGCGGGTTTCAAGAGTGAATAGGAAGACGGCTGATGAAGATGAGGCAGCCTCTCAACTTTGTCCTGGTGAAGTGTTTCGGGAAGGGAGAGATTGTGTAAGTGTGCAATTGATCCTCCAGGGTTGCCTCAGATTTCCCCTTTGTGCCTTCAGTAAACATGCATAAGAGTGCATGTGTGACTGTATTTAAAACTGTTGTTTGTCTGGAGAGAAATGGAATAAGAGGGCCAGAGGTGAAACAATAATATAATGCTGCTCTTGGCAAAGGACATGAATATTTTTTTGTCACTGACACTGATGGTGGAAATGATACGGCGAAAAAAGTGACCTGCTGTTGTAAGCAGTGGAAAATGGTGGTGGGATCTTTTTTTTATATAAATATAGATGTGTATAATTATTTATTTTATATTTGTATGGACAGAAAAGCCAAACTCAGACTTTAAACATTAGCTTCCAACCTGGTTCTGTTTACAAATTGATGAATATATTTAAAAATGACAATATCTGCTTTCTATCATGCCAGTTTACTGGGATGTCTCAGCTCACTGTGCATTGGCTCTTTCTTTTTTCTTTTTTTTTGTTTTTCTTTTTTTTCTTTTGATATTGTGAGTTTACAGTCTGTTTAAAATGACATTTTGTGGTGGGTTGTTGTTGTACCAGTGTATCGCTTGTTCGAAGCCAAATTTTGTCATTGTTTTAAAGTGCCTTTCTCCTTGCATTATTGCTGGAAGTGGTCAGAATAACTGAAAGGGTACTTTGTGGTTTTACTTATTATGAAAAGATCTTATCAACTGGTGCTATGTCCATGTGAGCTACTCGGTTACTCTATTTTCTGCCTCTAGTCACAATGACAACCTGTCACTTGTTTTTCAAATGTGTTTTGAGAAGATTTCATAGGAATGGAGAATAATCTCAGTTGACTGTGGTGCAGAAATCCCTCCACTTAAAGTTAAAACATAAATACTGGAACGTTTTACAACATTACCTGTGGTTCCACATTTACAAACAGACTGGTTCACATACAACCAAAGGTTTGCTGTAAAGTGCTGAACTGCTCCTCTTTTCTCGTTAGTTACCAAATCAGTGCCTCATATGATGTAGTCTGACCTGTGCCTCAGCTAAGTGTTTTTGTGAATGTTTTTTCCTTTCTAAAGTCTTTTATATGCTTGGAAAATAAAAATGGAATTTCTACATATAAAATGTGCCGCAGAAATTATCCCACTGATGGCAACTTATGTTTTCTACTGTTTGTTAATAAAAGCTTTGACAAAGAGCATGGTGTTTTGCTTTTCTTTTTTTAAACGGAGAGTTAAAAGTTAGATTTAAAGACTTTGATTTGCTGATTTGGGGTAAAGAGAGATCACCAAGCTTACTCACATTCACACCTAATGACGATTTAGAATCACCAATTAACCTCAGCATGTCTTTGGACTGTGGGAGGAAGCCGGCGTACCTGGTAAGAACCCATGCAGGCACACAAAGAACACACAAACTCCACACAGAAAGATCCCTGGCCGAGATTCAACCCAGGACCTTCTAGCTGTGAGGCAACCCGCGGAAACAACGTGCTGCCAATTGATTTAGCTGCTTTTAATTATTCTTTTCCATATTGGATTGATTTAAATCCAAAATTTACTGAAGTAAAAATATCTAATATTAAAATGATAAAACTTCACTTTGCACAATGCTCCCTGTCAGCCTCTTGTTGTACACGATAACATACAATCTGCTATATTACAACTCCATACTTAAATATATGCTGCTGGTTAGTTTAATTTCATAAATATGTTTTGAATGACGAAAACTGCTAACTCCAACTTTTGAAATACCATAATGTGCAGGGTTTCACCTTCAAATACTGTAAAGAACATTTCTGAAGAATAAAGTAACTTAAATAAAATTGATACACGAGGCACACATACCTTAAAGCTAAGCTTAATAAATCAATAAAAAATGTAATTCTTGTGGAAATTATACAAAAGGTAAATTCACAGCCAGCAAGTGTGTCCATCAGAATTATTTATTACAATAAATCATACCAATGTATACTGGCCTCCATAACACTAGAGCCAAAAATGTACAGTCACTTGTCTCTCATACTCCTCCCAGCAGGGGGGAAAAACAGTGGAGGTCTGTCTCAGGATTTTGATGATATGTTCCTCTAAAAAATTATTTGTGTGGGCTTCAAAAGACAAGATAAAGCCTCTTGTGCACCCCAAGACCTCAGGGTCAATCTCAGCTCCTTCACACAAACAAAAATGCCTGAGAGTATAACCATCACACTACAGAGCACAAACTTAACATATGAAATGTGCAACAGAACAACATACCTAGTTTCAGCAGTAAAACAAGTCAAATCCAAACGGTTTAAAGTACTTTAACTTGCTTATAATCGGAGATTGAAGAAAACGATCGGCCGGAACTATAATTCCACATCTCAGTTCGGGATAGGATTTGTTTTTCTGTAACACCCCTGCAATGGCCGTCAAGGCACAGGCGCTCTAGCTCATGAGTAGTCATCACGCTTCTCTTGGCTCCGTCGTTGGATTTTAGCTGCTGTTTCGGTGAGTATTTATAGGTTTTGCTTGAACATAAGTCATTCAGGTGTTTGTTGCGTAATTTTGATATTTACAGCGGGTTTATTAATGTCATTTAAAGTTCGTTAGCAGCTTCACACAACGTTACTTGTCCTAAACAGCCGCCGTCTGAACAAAGTTAACAGTTAAACTTGCTAATTTAGCAGATCAGAAATCCTCCCAGATGATGAAGTTTAGTAAGTAAAGGATTTGTAAAAGCGTTAACAGCTGCGTCCTGAAAATGCAACTTCAGCTAAGTGATTTTAAGAACCTTCATGATTCAGTAACTAGCTTAAACTCCATTAGGATTTATTTTATTCTCAGGTAAACGTAAATTACCTTATTACCTGAGGTAAAATTCTCAGGTAATAAGTGTAGAAATGATGAGGGAAGAACACAACACTTGTTCATGAAAGACAACATTTTAAAATACTAAAACCTACACAGAAGCTCACACAGTATAACACAGAATAAATGAAATAACTCTTATGAAAACCATCATATGACTGAGACAATCATGTATATATAACCATCACAACATCAGATTAAGTTTTACATAGGTCAGCAAGACGAAGGCACTGCAACAAAATACAAACTCCACATGCAGACACAGACAGCATTTAATGTCATAATAAAGCATGTTGTACAATGTATTTGTGCAATTATCTCAGTTTGGGTTAGTGGCACTCCTCTTCAGTGATAACTCTACTGTTGTTCTTTGGGGTACATCGACATATCATTGCTGTGACGCTGCAGGGGACACATAAAACAGAGGATTGGGTGTTCAACACAATTCTTGCCGTCTGGTGAATTGCTGTACATCAACTTGTTCCTTCTCTACATTCTTTTATGACAGAAATGTCTTTATGTAAAGGAAAACATAAAATTCAGGCACCAGGTCACAGTTCAAAATATAATGGAATTTAATGTCGTGGTGCTCTCAGGCATTCTGTGTTGCTTTCAAATACGTATTTTCCTCTGGATCAGATTTCCTTATTTACTTATTATCCCAGATGAGACATCACATACAGACCTGATTTACTTTTCTGTCCTCTTTAGTGTCTTTGTTTTGGGGCAAGAAACCTCTTTAAATGTGCATGTGACACCTTTTCACATCAATGATAAATTCATTCATTTTAAATAATTTTTAAACCCCCAGACTTGAATAAATATGACTTAAATAATGTGCTTCAGCAAGACTTCTGCTCATCCAAAACTTTCTGCACATTCAAAACATATCGTGCTGAAATAAAAAACCCTGCCCGTAGTCCTTTTGTCCCCTTCAGGTTTTTTTTTGTGTGTGAAATGCACATGTAAATTTTGAGGAGGACATATTCTCTGCATTGTCCCTGAAATCTGCTCCTGTGTTTCTACACATAATGTCAATTCTGTCATTGTTGTAAAAGGTAGTTCAGGTGAAGGCATAGGGTTTATAAATATGGGATGAGTCTTAGGTGGTATGTGGAGTAAATGATTAGCTGTCTTTATTACTGTCCATGTGTGGACAATTTTCCATGTTGATGAATCCTTGCCTTTTTTTTTTTTCTGACACTGTAGATGTGATGTGATGTCAGACAAACGCCAGCGTGCCAGAGTCCAGGGCTCCTGGGCCAAACAACTGCCAAAACACTCAGGTCCAACAGGTTCAACAGGTCTGACAGGTAATTCAAGGTGTAGTGTATACTAAAATATGCCACTGCTTATGCAAGCTTCTTATCGAATTAGATCATTGTTGATGAATTTACAGAGTCAAAGCCCTGGATGCTGATAAAATAATACAATTTCTCTTTTGGATGAAATACCACCATGGACGAAAGGATTGGCACCCCCGGAATTTTTCCAGAAAATACACCATTTCTCTCAGAAATTGTTGCTATTACAAATGCATTTGGTATATACATGTTTATTTCCTGTATGTACATTGGAAAAACACAAAAAAGCAGAAGAAAAGAGACAACATTTACATAATTTTACACAAAACTCAAAAAATAGGCAGGACAAAATTGTAGGCACCCTCAATTCAGTATTTGGTCACACACCCTTTGAAAGAAATAACTGAAACCAATCGCTTCCTATAACCATCAACAAGCTTCTTATACCTCTCAACTGGAATTTTGGACCACTCTTCTTTTGCAAACTGCTCCAGGTCTCTCAGATTTGATGGGTGCCTTCTTGCAACAGCAATTCTGAGATCTCTCCATAGTGTTCAATGGGATTTAGATCCGGACTCATTGCTGGCCACTTCAGAACTCTCCAGCACTTTGTCTCTAACCATTTCTTAATGCTATTTGAGGTATCTTTCGGGTAATTTTTCTGCTGGAACACCCATGATTCTGACGCAGACACTGATTTCTGACACTAGGCCCTACATTGCAAAATATTTTGATTGTCTCCAGATATCATGATTCCTTGCAAACCATCAAGGCACCCAGTGCCAGAGGCAGCAAAACAACCAGGACACATCTTTGAACCTCCGCCATGTTTGACCGGAGATACTGTGTTCTTTTCTTTCTAGGCCTCATTCCATTTTTTGTAAACAGTAAAATGACATACTTTTCCAAAAAGCTCTACTCTGTCCACAAAACGTTCTCCCAGAAGGATTGAGGCTTACTAAGGTACATTTTTGAAAACTCCAGTCTGGCTTTTTTGTGTCTCTTTGACAGTAGTGGGGTTCTCCTCAGTCTTCTGCCATAGCGCTTCTTCTCATTCAGATGATGACGTATGGTCCGAGCTGATACTTTTCCACCCTGAGTCAGCAGGACAGCCTAAATTTGTGAAGAAGTTGACTGAGGATGTTTATCCACCATTCTAACTATCCTGCGTTACATTCTTTTGTCAATTTTTCTCTTCCGTCCCCATCCAGAAAGATTATCCACAGTTCCATGAGTTATAAACTACTTGATTATATTATGCACAGGAGACAAAGGAACTTCAAGATCTCTTGAGGTGGTCTTGTAACCTTAAGGTTGTTCATATTTTTGCACAATTTTACTTCTATATTGCCAGTACCTGTTACTTGCCACAGGTGAATTTAAATGAACATCACATGCTTGAAATAAAATGATTTACCCACAGTTTTAAAAGGGTGCCAACAAGCTTGTCCGGCCCATTTTTTGAGTTTTGTGTAACATTATGTAAATTTTGGCTTTTTTGTGTTTTCCCAATACACATAAGGTAAATAAACACATGTACACCAAAAACATTTGTAATAGCAACAATTTCTGGGAGGAACGGTGTATTTTCTGGAAAAATTCTAGGGGTGCCAATTCTTTCGTGCATGACTGTACATCCAATTGTGAAACACATTTTACTGTTTTACTGTGTTCTGCAAACCTGCCTGATATCTAGAAAATGGTTCCTAATTTAGATTTTTTGACAGTTGCAGTGCCAAACAATCATCAACCCAAAGATGCTACCACAGCCTCTGGTTCTTGGGGAATTAGGTCCCAGCAAACATCTAAGAATTTTGAGTTTCACCAACCCTCCAAGGTATACCATGGATATGAAAAAACTCACCATTGACTACTGGGAAAATTTGGCCTTACCAGTGGGCTAAAAGTGCATTTTAAGATATTGCTAATTCTTTCTCTTTTTCTTATTTGTAGCCAGTTAGAGATGTTCCACCGGAGAAAGTGATAGAGTAAGTTACGCATTTTTATCTTCACTGGACATCCTTAGGCATTTGTTTCATGAAAAATAAATGAATAAATAAAAACTTGTTTCTGTCTTTTGTAGCATGGTGGCTTGTTACCTGGTTGTATTCTATGCACAGATTGACTAACATATATCATCTTGCTCTGGATAGGAAAACAGGTGATTATGAGATCAGCCAAGGACCATCAGGGGTGTCCAGGTAAGTACTGTTTAGTTAAGAGGGAATCTGTCTGACTGGGAAATGTAGAGAGATGAAAATCAAATCAAATGGAAAAGAAGAGAGCAATAGTGTTGATGGTATCAAACCAGTGTGTTTAGTGAAGGTGAGATAAATCTGTGATTTAGTTTTAAACCCACTAGATGGCAGTGATCACACAGGCAATTCTATATGTGGCTTATGGTGAATGTCGTGTCTCATTCATGTCTTACTTCTTTTATGGCTCACACTAGGTCACAGAGGGGTGAGGTATGTTTATAATAGTTGTCTTAATCTGTGATGTATACATAACATGATGGACAACCACAATCTTGGCCTTTTGTTTATCAGTTTCTAAATGTTCAGGGTTAAAAATGTTTGTTACTACTAAAATACATCTGTCATCTATGACAGAAGTGCAACTTTAAGAAGTGGAACAAGACTAAAAGGAAAAGAAAAACCTTGATATTTATGCTCTGGTTTATATTCCTCCTTTGTTGCCAAGTGCTCTTGAGCAGTGCAGCAAAGTCCTCTAGAACAGGCACATATTGCTCTTTTGCTCTTCGTAAGTGTTCACAGTTCTGAAAATGATTTTGTTATTCTGCTCTGCTACAGAGTCTTACCTGGATCAGACTGTGATTTTGATTACCAACTATAGAGCATGTGCAATGTTTAATAGGCACCAAAGGTCAATAACAAAGACCATCGACAAATCTGATAAGTTTTAGTTTTGGCTGATTTTGACAGTTTAATGAATTATTGTAGTGGGTAAGCAGCCAACAATTATGCTGTTTAATGTAAAGGATCATTTGAAACCACTGTTACCGATTCTTTGGCTGACAGAAACTTCCTGTGTATTTCTTGATTTTTTTGTAACTTTTTCACTTTTCCATTATTTTGAAGGAATTTTGTCCATTATTTATAAAATATCTTGGAAAGGTCCACATTCAGATATGGATAGGGTAGCTCATTCAGGACAGTGAACACAACACTAAATGACTTACATACAGTACATACTGTGTACATCCACATTTCTTTATGGGGACTTAGTGTGTACTTTGTCTTTCAATCTTTTCAGACTGCGATTGCTGCCGGGATTTCTTCCCCCAGAAGAGGCTGACTGGATATTCAGTAAGCTCCTAGCAGAGCTTCCCTGGTCCCAGAAGACCAACTACAGACAGGGTAGGCACCAGGGGCTTAAAAAATAAGCAGTGTGTAAAAGGTGAAATGTGAGTAAGTGTTGGGTTGACTGGAGGGTAAGAAGGGTTTCCTCACTTCAGCAGGCATGTTGTTGGGTTCATGTTTGTTTCAGTTTCATGAAAATCCAGTGGTAAAGTTCTTTGTTTCCCCATGCTTGAGGCATTTATGTGGTGGTTTTAAAAATTAGAAAGTGCCTAAATAGTGCACACCTCTTTCAAGGCTGCAGTTGTTATTATTTTTGATATTTTAATAGCAGACTATGTGTAGAAATTTTCAGTATACATCTGGATTTAAATAGGTATTTATTTTATACCCTCTCCAAATTTTAATTACCAGTTAATAGTATAGTTTGAGAAGTTTACAGAAGCAAAAACTGCAGCCACTCTGCCACACTTGTAATTTGTGCATAGGCTTTAACAGTAGCCATTGTTAATTAAAAGAAAGAAAACTCACACATTGTACTCAGACTATATACAGCGAGCATGTTGACATGAAGCCAGACTTTGTCACAGAATCAGTCTTTTCTCTCAGCTGGCTCTCATCCATCTTGTGTGCTATTCTGCGATATCTCCATAGCAGATAAACAGCACGATGAAGACAAGGGGCTACGATTTCTGACCACAGATGCAAGTTGTGTAATCCTCAGCCCATCCTTCCTCAGACTTTGTCAACAAAGTCCATGTGACGTTTGGGAAAAGTTGAGAAAGAAGTGAAAAGCAGACTCTTCAACATGTCCCCACTCCTACGTCATTTGTCCTGCCCTGTTTGAAACCCCCCCTTCTAATACACTGACTCAATTTTTCCGACCATTTAAAATAAAGGACTGAGTTAAGGTTTTGTTTATCTTTCCCCCCGATAACATGTTTTTATGGAAAGAGAAAAGCTTTTGAGAGTTGATAAATGAGTACACATATTTATAAACACTAACTCCAGAGACCTTTAACGTTTCAGTGCCATAAAAAGTGATGACTGCCCAAGCAGTTTATTTTGGTTTCACTGTGTTCCTGAACCAGACTGCTGGCCAAAATACACTAATGGCAGAGAATTGGTTCTTGGACAAGAGCTCATTCTTTGAGAGAGATACACCCAGACCCACAGAGAGAAACTGGATTTAGATGTTTGTTACCTTCTGTTAGAGCAAGATCCCAGTGATAAAACATCGGAGTGTTTCACGTGGCTCAGTTCCTGTCATTTTAGATAGCAGTGTTGCTGCACCATGTCAGACTTTGTTGAGAGTTCACTGATTTGGGACCCAAAACTAAGTACTATCAAATATTTTTGCAGAATTTTGAGATTTTTGCTTTCCAAACCTGGTATTTTTTTGAATTTCACCCTCAAAAAAAGTCTCACCTGGAAAGTCATTTTATCTCCACACAGTCATGAAATCTGGTTAGGACACAATTACATATGTCAAAGTTTTTTTTTCTCATCCTACCCTGGCCTTAAAATGGAGAAGATATAACTTTACACAATTGTCTCCTTTAGAATGTGAGATTTAATGTCTAAGGTTGACCTCCGATATTTATGCTTCCATATTATATATTATGCCAGAGAAAGATTTAGTATGTCCTAGTAAATAGTATGTCAGATGTTATATCCCAAAAATACCAGGATGTGCTACTACATCTAGTTAAATTTCAAAATGATTTTCTAGTCATTCTTACCCACAATCCTCCATCCAATCCAGTCAAGTTACATACAAGTATAGTATGTATAGTATGTATGTACAGCTAGAGCTGCCATTATTATGGTGAAGGAGCATGTCCCATTTGTGGGCATGCTGCATGCAACAATCTGTACTTTGTGAGGGCAGCTGTTGTACATACTTAAAGTAAAAAGAAAGCGTATGCAATTTGGCAAACAGCCAAAGTCTCACCACTATCTCAACCCACCACTCCCCACTCATATCAGCTTGAGCACACCACACCAGCTCACCTGGGACTCTGCTCAGACACTTTAAAACTACTGTACAATGGCAAGCTGTGTTGCTGAAGTAACTGAGGCATACACGTTCTAACTTGAAACGGATTTTCCTTCTTTCCTTCTTTTTATTAAAAAGGGACAGTGCACATTAATGAACAAACGTACAAAATACATATTGTAAATGTGCCAGAGTTAGCATAAATGCTAGTTTGCATCTGTTGTCCCTTGGTGGGTCATAGACTAAAACAATTAATTCACAAGGCTTTAAAATACACAAATACAATACAGCCAATCAAAGAATAATACAAAGTGCATGATTATAAGTGCAAGAGTTGAAGTACTAGAGTTTGAAGTCCTGAAATTAAGGTGCTTAAGTTAAAGTGTGTATTGCCAGTATATGAGTTATTGGAAAAGTACACAAAATGAATAAAGAGTTCATTATTCAGCTATACAAAAATCACCAAGGGCAGTACATGTATACATATGTGCATGTAGACATGTACCATAGAATATCAAATAAGTACTTAAAAGTACAGAAAGGCAGGGCGGATGTGTGCAGCACACAGCACATGCATATGTGTATCTGTACACCATAGACAGTCTACCTAGCTGTGAGAACAAGTTTGGTTGTTTATAAGCTATAAGTTTTTGAGATGAGATTTGAAGGTGGTGCATTCTCTTATTGTGGTTGGTATGGAGTTCCAGGTGTTAGTACCCCTCACTGGCAGCACAGATTGACCAAAGGTAGTTCGTCTGTGGGGGACCTCGCAGTCTCTTCTGGTGATGGTCTTCTTATTTTGAAGACAAGTAATGATACAGAAAGTCTCGACCTGCAAGCTGACAGGATTGGTTCCTTTGGTTGGTTATGGATGAAACTTCAGATGTCTAAAGCAGTGTTTTATAAACTGTCATCAGTGCAGTTTTAAGGTGTAAATACTTGGCATGGCAATGACTGCTTATTTCACCTATGTGTCCTCCAGCATATAACAAGCACAGTATGGAAATGTTAACGAGGTATTTAAAAATAAATAAATAAAAAATACACTCTGAATTGTGGTATTAACTCAGGTATAGTGTCACAGATTTTTTGTTTTGTTTTTAAACAATTTTCAGGGACATTATGTACATAGTAGTAATGTTCTTCTTGTGATTACAAACAAGAGGTGTCAAGGAAATGTAGTGTTGATTTTGTTCTGTGTGTGCATGTGTGTGTGGGTGTTTTGGTCTAGGTGAAGCCTATGAGGAGCCCAGGCTGACCTGCTGGTATGGAGAGCTGCCATACACGTACGCTCGCTCCACCATGGCTGCCAACACACAGGTTAGATAACTGCAACAAGACTCAAAGAAGAAACATGTTTTCACACAGCATCTGTCACACATTTACTTTGCACCAATATCTGCTCCTTATTTTTCATTTCTTAGGCCCTTGAGTTGCTGTTTTTTTTTTTGTTTTTTTTTAAAAATGTAATATTTTTTTATTGTATTGGCTTTTCTCTCCCATGATTATTTAATCGAGGCAGGATACAGATTAATCTAAACCAGTCTAAACACGGTGTCGTATTTGCTTTTGCAGTCTCCTGTTTTTAACACTTCATCCCTCTTTGTCTTTTTTTCTTATTCTGTTTTTTCTTCCAGTATTTATCCCTTACCTTATTTACAGAATTCTCTTTCTTTGTTTTCCTTTTTTGTCACAGTGGCATCCGTTGCTGGTAACACTTCGCCAGGCCGTGGAGCAGGCGAGCGGCTGCAGCTTCAACTCCCTGCTGTGTAACTTATATCGCGATGGCCATGACAGCATCGGCTGGCACAGTGACGACGAAGCCTCCCTGGGTTCAAAGCCCGTCATTGCCTCCCTCAGTCTAGGTGACACCAGAGTGTTCAGCCTCCGCAAGCAGCCTCCACCGGTGAGATGATGGTAGAATGTGAAAACTAACTTACCCCACTCCAATTAGTACTTGTCTGTTGTTGTGCACTTTTAAAATATGTATCACTTCTAAACACTAAATGTCTTAACATCATTGTCTTGTGTTACTCTCATACTTTTATAGTTAGAGAAGCTGTGCTAATTTAATAAAACAAGCTTTGTTCCTTTATGTTTTTCTTACTTTGGCCTTAAATCCAGTATTCATCAAAATGGTCTCAGATAGTATTTGAACTGGCCCCTTAAAATCTGTTTCGGTTGAGTTAAACTGGTAGTACGACTTGGCTCACAGTCAAGGAGACCATCTCCCACTTCTACTGCATGCTACTTAAGAAAAGCAAACTACTGTGCAAACCTTAACAAAAAGGAGGGTGAGCGTAGTGGAGTGCAGAACAGCAGCCAAGGTGAGTTAGTGAAAACTGGACACAGATGAAAGGTTTCAGTTACTTGTTGTGTTTAGTCTCCACAGAGTATGTAGAGGCCCTATGTTTAATATTTGTGTTATTTTAAGTGTTAAAGTATACACTTCTGAGGAGGCAGGCTTCATTAGTTGTGATGTGGATGAGATGCACTGGTATTTAGCAGTGATTTGGTTACAGAACTGCCTTCAGCTTTGTTTTTTACCCCCTTTTTTTTTTCCAACTGTTTGGCCATTAAGCTGTGTTGTGTAATGTTACAGTGCAGAGGTCAGCTATGTGTGTGTGTGTGTGTTACAGTTATACATTGTGCTCTACTATGTGTATGTGTGTTAGGAGGAGAATGGTGACTATACTTACGTGGAGCGCATTCGGGTTCCTTTAAGTCATGGGACACTTCTGCTAATGGAAGAAGCCACACAGGATGATTGGCAGGTAGGCAAAGGCAAACACAACACAAATGGCCATGTAAAGAAAACGCAAGTTAATAAAATTAACAGCTGCTGAGCAGATCAGAACCAGACAGAAAGTAGAAAGATATTTGTTTTCATTTGTCTGGATTTTGATTGCTCTTTCTATTTTTTTGCAAACATCTTCTTTAGGTGATGATTGCTGTTTTCAGTCAGTGAAACAGCTTAAACAATACTGTATATCCTGTTCCTCATGTTTAATCTTATTATTACTAATTGCGCTAACGTCTTCTTTTTGTACCAAAACTTGCATATCAATCACACACCACCCTGTACATCACTGGATTTGTCCCTGAAAAAAACACCTTATACCAGATGCTTAGAAATTCATTTGAAGACTTTAATCAGCAAATATAAAAGTTGTGTGTTATTGCTTCAAGGTTCACATGGTTTGCCTGTTTGGATGGACTCAATTACACTGCACTGTGACAAAAACTTTATCTACCACTATGCCACAGATACTTCCATAATAATGGATATACTTCAGTGACTGATAACAAGTTATAAAACTGACAACTAACTTCTGACATTTACAGTAAGTAGTCATAGACTGAAAACCTGCCTTTGCCTGTGTGTGCATATTGAAGTGTTACTGCTTCTGACTGAACACACATGAGAGGATCGACCTGCATTCAGGTTCCTCCCCTGATCAACAGGCAGCAATGATCAATGGAATGGCCTGGAGAGATAAACAGAGCTTCAGCATAATGAGAATCATTTATTTTACAATCAGAGACAGCAGCTAGGTTTGCTTGTGTGGGAAAGTGTATGTTATACAGAGTGTGAGTGTGTAATTGGGTCACGCTCAGCAGTGAGAATATGTTATATTACAATGGTTTGAATTTCATTATGCCTAAATCTCAGCTGAGCAGATAAAAGCCTTACTTATGTCAAAAATAGGTCAAACTATTTAGGTCTACCTTCTCTGTATAGAAGAAAAAAGAGTCAAGAATGCATAGCAAAACAGCTGCTCAGGAGACGGCACAGATCCTGTGAACACTTAAACTAAGAAAAAATATAATAAATAAAGAATGAAAACAACATTTAAAAAATATATGTTTTTAGTAGCAAAAAGACAGTGATATATGTATAAACTGTTTTTTGGGTTTTTTATAGCTAAACTCTACAAAACTGAGAGTTTGAGTTGGTAAGATTAGAAAAGCCATTGTTATTTGCACATCATGTACAATAAGAATAAATCTAAGAACTTATTAAAATACTTATTTCTGAGCATTTGTGAAGTGCAAGAACAATACTAAAAATGTACGTTTATCTGAAGAGAAAGAGAAGGTGCTGCTTTGTAAAAATTGAACTAATTGTGTAAATATTCCTATTTTCATGCCAAGTACTCAACGAAATTGAATCAATGTCCTGCATTCCATGAAAGGGCAGGAGTTAAATGATGGAACAACATAACTGATATAGAATAGCAGTGGCTCACAAATGGAACCTTGTGGAACTCCATGTAGTGTTCTCGGAAGTGAGAGGCGTCGATAAAGAGTAACATATTGACTTACCATAAACATTTATGCATGCCATTCTTGGCCGCTAGTATGTATGTATATATAAAACAAAATCTCTAAAAATGTGTTACTTTAGTTGCAAAGAATACCACCATATGAAGTCTTTTACTACTTGCCCACCTGCACCTCCACTAAAAAGTTAGTGAACAGAGTGAGACATAACCAAAGTGATGGGGGAATAAAGTCAGTGAGATCTACAGACAGTGAAAGAGGTTGGAGCTTAAAAGAAAAAAAAAAAAGGATAAGGTCACAGGTGTTTTATGGCGACATCTCGCAGAGTATCTCAGCAAAGGTTTCATTGCTCCTTTAAAGACCTTCCCAGAGAAAGAAGATCACTCCAGCTATTAATCCTCACTCTGTCACTACAGTCAAAGTTGGCCTAACAAAACCATCTGGCTCAGACAGAAAGGTTTGGAAGTGAGTGCTAAATATTTAACTAAACTCATCAGTCCTTCTAAACTGCCTCATTTATTTGAAAATGGATACATGGTTATTTCTGCCTTTCCTGGGCTCTTTTTTTATTCTTTCTTTTGATGCTGTTGTGAAAAAAAACAAACCTTTCACCTCCTTTTCAGACACAGGGGAAAAAGGAGCGTGTCTGAGGGCACAAGATGCACAAATAAATTAAGTCTATCTTTCCCTTGGGCAAAAGGTCTAGACATAAGTTAGCAGAACTTGATTGGGACACTTCATGGCTGTGCTGTCCCATGAAACATTTTAATTCTGCTTTTGCAAAGGTAAATAAAAATGACTTTTACCCCCCATTTGTCACATGGTAACAAAATAGTGTTTGTTGCATGTTGCCACATTTTCTGGTTGGACCTTGTTTACAGTGCAGAGGTCAGCAGCAAAACAAAAATAACCCTGTGGTTGAGAAACTCCTGAGTATATAGGTCTTTTTTGTGCTGTTAGATTTATTTATACTTTTGCAAGTTAACTAAGCAAACCTGTCCTACTAAAAACAGAGCAGTTCTTTTTTCATCGCCATCCTCTCCTTCAGTGCTCACCAGTAGGTGAAAGGCAATCCTAGATTTACCATGTTTTGGAACAAGCTTTGTCTGCTTGGTGTTTTGGCATTTGATGGCTGTTTAAGGTCTTGCACCGTGTTGCTACCTTTTTAAAGTCCTGACATTGCCTGCGCTCTGTTATTGGCTGGGGGGTTACACACCCACCTCACCAAGCTTGGAGCCCAGAAAATTCAGTAGAAAATACAGGCAGGATCTCTCGAGATGACCACAACCAAGTGTTTGTAATCAGTGGTGATTGAGAGGGGTTATTTTTGTATAAGTCTGGTATTTGTAGGAATTTCCTGTATAGTATACATTTCATATTTTGTCTGAAAATAAAAAGTATATATACAGTATAATTGGTAAGAATTGTCCTTTAATAGCCATCTGCCAATGAGAACAATGTTTAACGTAGACTCTTACATCCACGCAAGTACATTTTCATTTTTAAACTTTTGCTACATTTATGCCTAGCGTCCACACTTCTCGATCATTTTAAGATCCCTGAAAAAAGAGACTTTTGGAAATGCAGCTGACTCCGTTTCAGTCCTGTGGGGTTGTGTTGTAGTCTTAACAAACAGAAACTGAGACTTCTGGAAACGTTGACGTAGACACCCATGTTTGCTTTCTCATCGGACCTTAACGTCACAACGAGACGTACCGCCATGTGACCATGTTCTGAAAGACAACACAGACGTCAGCCTTCACTGCCAGTGGTTAATTCAATAGAATGAATTACAGCTGTTGCTTACCTTTTTGTCTATCGTAACAGCTGCTGTGCAGTTAAATCTCTGGTCTTCCTGTTTGTCATTGCTATTCTTCAGAAGTATTTTCTGCAACTGAGCAACCAACCCCCCTGCTTCATGTTTACACTGGCCTCTCCATACCTAGTGTAGATCAATAGCCATATAATTTGTGTTTTGTATGCATGGAGATTTTTTCTGACACAGTGCTAAAATGCTCATCTGGACAAAGTTTGCTTTAAAGTTTCACTTTAAAATGAAAAATGTATTTGTGTGACTGTAACATAAGCACCAACCTCCTAACTTCATAAAGACTGTTTTGGATAAAAGACCAGCATAGAAATATTTGACCTGTAAATGTAAAATACTTTGCATATCAGTCCTTCTGTCCTCAACAGCATCAAGTGGCTAAAGAGTACCATGACAGGGGCCCTCGCATCAACTTGACTTTCAGAACTATCTACGAAGAGCCGGAGGGCCACAGGCCAGGTACCAAGATGCGATTCAGAGCCAAACAACCCTCAGGGTCAGGTACCTAAGACTCAGGAAACTCTGTGTCCAGTTGTTGTCAGACTCACGGTGCTGGAGATGAGACGGATGAGATATGAACAAGACAAGCTAATCAATGATGCACATAATTTGAAAGAAAGGCTAGACAGCGTGAACATCATTATCCTATTTATTGAGCTTTGTACGCAATTTCAGCTCTGAGGAGAAAGTCTAGTAATCACATCAGTGAGTCACACACGACAGTATGAATAACATAATATTAATGCTGCTGCAGTCATGAGCAGTCGTGATTCTCAAATGTCAGTGTTTTCAGAAAACTATTCTGAAGCAATGGTCCTGTCTTTGGTTTTAAGGGATGAGACATCATAAGCTCTACACATGTTATGTTGATTTTATGTATTTATTCTGAAGGGACAGTTGATTATGATCACATCATTTGACAGCAGTCTTCAGTCAGTACTGCAGGTACAGGGACAGCCTGCGCTGTTCTAGTTGCCAGCAGGTTTGTACGAGGAAACTCCCAGGTGGCAACAGCAGGTATCAGAATCAACATGCAGGTCTTTATTCTGTATATCTCCTTGGTAAGTTACTTAGATTTATTTGGTTTGATTGGTCTTTTATGGCAAACTTTCATTTGACCTACAGTTGTATATCAGCCGTTTTGTCTGAGAAGTAAATGTGTGCATATTGATAATTCCATGCCACTGAAATGTGTTTCTTTATGAAAGTCAGTCGATTATTGTCAGAGTGCTCACAGTACAGAATGCCACTCTTCATTTTCTTTTGGTAAAATGTCCTCAGATGTATATGATTTTCAGCCTTGTTTATCTTGGTGAGCGTTCTAGAAAGAACATAGCTGCTATAAATAGTGAAGGAGCAAGTCAAGTGGCTACTTTAGCCAAATAGGATCTCTATGATCTGTCCCTTAAGGAGACAGTTGTTTTTGCACTGTGCATGAAACGGGCAACCAGCACAGTGTCAGCACCAACTATCCAAATTAAATCACTTAAATTACTTATTTGATTAAATAGTTTCTGTTTCAGTTGCAATTGCAAAAATACCTTTTTTGTTTCATTTGAAAAGAATGTACAGTTAGTAAAAAATTAAGTTCAATGTTTGAAACCTTAACTATTTCATTACACCTTGTATTTTGCAGTTTGGCATACTGGTTCTTCATGTGCTGTTTATTGTGGTCACTAATACCAGAACCTGCTGCTGTTTCAAAATGTAAAACTTAAAAAGTTGTAAAACTTACATCAGTACTTTTCTTTGGCAAATAAAGAAATGGAGAGAACTTTTTGTGACTCACTTCTATCATCCATGTTTATACCAGATTCAGTTTGTTTCTTATATCTCTGAAACACAGCACGTAAATGGAAATATGCTGCTGAGGATTACACTTTCAAGCTGGGGTAGGCAGAAATCTGGAGAACAAAACAGCAGAAGTTGAAAATATCTGGCCCTCCTCTTGCAACTCTTCCTTTTCCACACTCTCTTCTGAGCTGTTATAACCAGATAAACGCACATTTTAAAAGCAAATATAGTCACCCTAACTGAAGGTCCTCTGTCTGACCCATTGTGCCGCCACATCCTATACTTTGTTGCTCTCTGTGCTATCTCACCTGCTCTGGGTAAAAACACCCGTGATTGACAGTCTCCTGTCACAAGCTAAGTTTTCTAGAGACTGAAAAGGGAGAAAAGAGGAGGTGCAGAAGACTAGTTTCCTCTCAGACCACTTAAATGACAACATCCTGAAAGGTTAGTATTGAATTTTCGTCATGCACTGCAAATAATACCTATCCAGCTTTACCAAGCTATAAAGTCATAAAGTTTAAGAAGCCTACAATATGGAGTTACAAGTTGAAACTACTGGGTGTCCTTTGGATCTAAGGTACTACATCCACACATGCTTCAGGTGGGGAGGAGTTGTATGATGGTTTTCTTCAGAAATTATGTTACTGTAATAGAACAACAATGGTGAACAGCTAACATATAAGCTGATTAGAGGAGCTTTTTTTTTTTCATGTGAAAGTGATCCCTGGTTCTTTCCCAACATGACAATTTCAAAAATCTTGGGGCAGTATATGTCTTAAAAGTGCAATATTGTGCCTCTTTTTAGCAAATTAATCAAAGTCACATATGTCTCCAGACATTGTGTCTCGCTCAGAATACTACAAAAACAGTACATCTCACCATGACTGTATAACCTCTGGTTTAAACAGGCTGTTTGATCTGAAAACCAATGAGCTGCTGCTGTTCCTGCCCACTAAGAACATGCTGTTTGTGACTATGATTGACAGCTCCAGCAGTGTGAACTAAACCACTGCTGGTTAGTCACATCACACCTAAGTTGAGTTCTTAGTCACTTGTAAAACTAGGAGGATGACTAGCTGTCAGAGGGATTGGGGAATGGCAGAAGTGAGCAACTTCATGTCTTAACAGCTTTTATTTTACACCTCCGAGTTTATAATCACCACAAGACACAATTTTCACCATATGGGACCTTTAAGGCAGATACAGATTACTTTAACCAGCCACATTGATTGATTGATTGATTGATTGATTGATTGATTGATTGATTGAAATATTTATTTCGAATATGTAAAGACAAGTACCAAGTAAACAAAGAATTAATATTTCATATATATAAATATACACTTATATACGTACAAATCCATACACATACATCTTAAATGAAATCATGTAACAAAAGAAATATTCCACAGTTCTGGACTATGTCTACATATTTGAAAAGGAGTGAGAAGAAGTATGTAAACACTTATTTAATCCCACAACCTTTTCCATAAACTATGGATTGATAATTTCTAGTTTCTTATATATATATGTGATATACAGTTTCTGTTTATACATATAAGATACAATGAAAATATATACAATTATCATACTACCAATTCTTATATATATATACACACATATACATGCATACTCACATATATACATACACATGTACACATACACATTCACAGATACACACACACACACACACAAACGTACATATACAGTCATACTAAAGAAAATAGCGTTCTATGTTCTATTTTCTATTTTTTATTTATCGTTCGAGACCGATAAGTAATTCATAGGTACCAATAAGTAAAAAGATTAACATTTGATGAAATGATTTGATTTCCTGGTTAGTTTGTTACACTAAGGAGAGCCAAGAGGTGTTTTTGATTGCTGTGGTTCTGAAATAGAAAATTACATTATTGTGTCCTATGTTCCTAAATCATAGATTTTATTTTATTTTTTTAAGCATCTTACTATCTACCTTTTTGAATACATGACATGGAGATCTCAGTGCTGTCCTCGACTGGTCAAAAATCTGTTTCAGACAGGCAGGTTCAAACATAATACCAAGATGTAATAAGAAGTTTGTCATGTAAATATACTGAAACCTGAATATATTGTTTGCAAAATACAGCAAATGGAAAAAAGTGTGCTCCAGGTTCTCTTAGAGTCGAGACATTATGTAACCATTGTTGTAATTATACTCAAAAGACGTGATAAGGTTGTTTAATGGAAAGTTCTTAATCAGTTTATATTGTGGCGGTATCAAATCATGTGCTTCACTGCAGTCACAAAGTGTTAGGTGAGGTTTTTTGTCACTTTGGCTGAAATTCATTACATGGGATTTATGAGTTTAATCAAACAGTCGGGTTAGCATGCTGACTCTCACCTTGAAAGTTACTTAAGGCTGCTTACATCCTGTGAACTCAGTTGTTTATGTCAATAGTTCCCATTTTCTGAACAATAAAGGCTTGCAAATAAACTGGATCACACATTTAAGAAGTTGTAAAGACACTGGTCCTCTGTCTCTGGGTGATTCCTGGTGATACATTACATGTTGATATATTTAGATATTAAGTAACTGGCCTTGTAAGCTCAACTGGCTGGTCCAAGTCCAGTCATACCAGTCGCTCTCTATGTGGCTTATTAATAGCTGTTTGCTATGGAATGCTCCAATCTAAGTGTTCACCATAGCAAAGTATCCCTTGATAAATGCATAGAGACAAGTTATTTAACTGTTGGGAAATAGAAAGATTGTGCAGATAGTGAAGCTTCATGTAACTGCTGTCTCTCAGAGGGGAAAAGCTGAAAAAAACAAGCTTTCCTTCTGTTTTAATGAGGCATGTACAAAAGGGGCTCTAACAGCCAAGACTGGTGCAAAAAGCTTTGCAAGAACCAAGAAAGGTGGATAAATCATGTGGAGCAAAGACTGAAGGTAATTTCATGATTACATAATCGTCTTGCTACACACAAAGTGGAGTATCAGTCCACACCAGTCAGCAGAACTGCTGAAACCTCAGATGACTCTTAAATTTCTGAATCTCTTCAGCTAGACTTTAGTGCACATAGAATTTGATCTAGTAATGTAGTAATGTTTTTTTCCGGAAATTAAGTTGTCTTATTTTTAGACCAATGTGGCGTTTTTCACTTTTTCAACCTTTAAAAACATAATATGTTTATATCGATTCCCGCACAAACACTAAACTGAAATGAAGTGGACACTTAAAAGTCAGTCTGCCGTGAAGAGCAGTTGGGAATATTGTGAATTATTACAGTGAGTTAAGTGTATTTCTTAAGATTCTCTGGCCATAAAAACTGAATTCAGTCCTCACCTTCACCAAGGTAGTGGTTCAGAATTGTATTTGTTCACTCTGCAAGCTAAATTGGAATTCAACAGATGCAGCGAGACAATGGTAAGTATGGGACATGTAAATGCATGGTGAGGAGAATGTTTCCTCTAAACTGTAAACATTGATCAACACTATCAGCCACTAACTGACAAGAAGTATTTCCGAGTTTTAAAATGTATTTATTTATTATTATTTTATTTTTTATTTTTTTACAAAGGCAGCATTACTTAAATTTGATAGAAAAAGCAAAAAAATAAATAAAATTGGTGTGACTATAGACTTGTCCCAGGACCAGGCACATACAGTATTTACGAACTCCAAAAAGATTTTTTATTAAGTTATGCTGAAATAAAGCCCCCAAGTGAACTATTCAAGCTCAACAAACACCCCTTGACCATGACAAGACACTGTAAACTCACTGCAGCACTTTCAGTTCTCAATTTTCTGTGTACCTTTCCATCAGTACATGGGTTACTGTAACCATGACAACTTCATTGGCTCCCTCTTCTACTTCTTGCTTTACTGTGGTGCATTGATGGTTTTAAGTATTACATAAAAACCCTGATCTTAAAATAAACTGCAGGAATCACATTTTTCTTTTTGCAAAAAGCTTTGCTAACTTATGACAGAGTGGCAGATTTTTGTCTATGTTGAGGTGGATTTAGTGACTCATCGTGTTTAACAAGTTCTGCAGATACCCTCACTTGAATGCTGCAGTATAGGTGAGAAATCTGCCCTGCTGTGCCCGACTCTGACTGGCTGCATGATGTTGGGCCTCCAGTGGCACAGACTGGGACAGTTTGTACAAGAAGGGAACATCACACTGTTGAACATTGAATAGGTTCGGGCTGAACATTTGATTTAATTCTGTGACATTACCTTAATGTTCCACACAACAGAACAGGTACATTTCCTGCAGCAAATTTTGCATCTACCTGCTGCCGGTCATTCTGGTCAACATTAAGATATAATAATCAAAGTTAAGTAAAAGTATGGTTGTTAAACTTTGTACATCTGCAGCTTTTATTGTCCATCAATACACATCAATCTGAATAATTTAATGCACCCTTTGTTTTGCAACTTGTTTCATATCAAGGATCTTTCAAGCTGCATTAATTAGTATTTTTATTCTGAGAGTTAGTTCATGTTCGGTGTATTTCAAATTAAATTTAGAGTTCCATTTGCAGTATATCTCAGTGTAAAATGCATACCAACTTTAGCAGGACTTTATTAATAAAATGAGAAAATTCCTCTCATGTATCAAATCAACTAGGTTATGTAGTTTATACATATCTTATATATGTCTTATATTTATCTTATACATATCTTTTTCCTTCTTCCTTATTCCTGTATCTGTAGCACTTTCCCAGCTCGGTCTGGTTGTTGTTGCCATTTTCCAGGCTGCCTGGAAAGGAACTTGGAATGTGACACGATAGCTAACGAACAAGCTGCCAGGCATTCCTGCGTTACCCACTGTTTGCTTGTTCCAGATCCTGACACCTGTTGTGCAGAGCTGGGAATGTTTGGGTTTACGGGAGCTCCATCGGAGCGTCGGGTTCTGCTAACTCCTTTTATTTCTCACTTTAGTCACTGGAGCCACTGTATGGATCACAGTCAATTAGACATCAGTCCAGCTACTT